CAGGGCCACGCGGGGCCCGGGTCGGCCGTGCGGGCAGGGCCACGCGGGGCCTCTGTGCCCGTGCCCGCCCCACTCACCTCCACCCAGGTCCTGCGCCTCCATGTGCACCAAGTTGGGGTCGGCGTCCACGCCGGACACAGCCCTGGAGGAGAGAGCCGACGCTGGCATCCGCGGGGCCACGGCCCTTCCGCGCCGAGCCCTCTGGGCCCCACAGCGCCGGAGGCCGCGGTGGTCCAGAGGCCATGGTCTGTGCAAGAGTGCAGGGACCCCCAGGAGTAGACAGAGGCCCCGCCAGTGTCCCTCCGGCCCAGCCCAGGGCTGGGGTGGCGTCCTGCTGTTCCCAGGAAGACGTCCACTCACAGACTTCCTGTTCCACCTCCCAGCACAGCCCGGTTATCACGGCAGGGAGCCCAGGAGTGAAGAGACCTGTCCTGTCACACAGCCCCAGGGGGCAGCTGGGGTTCTAGCCAGGGCCAGATCTGAGCCAGCCAGTGCCTGTCCGCAGCCACTGGTGGCTCCCCGGTCACCCCCCTCCTGCAAGAACATCGAAGCCCAGGCATCTGCGGCTCATGACTGTCATCCCAGCTACTCAGGAGGCTGAGATCGGAGGATGGCGGGCAGGAAACTCCATGAGACTCTTATCTCCAATGAACCACTCAAGCCCAAAGTGGGCTGTGGTTCAAGTGGCAGGGGGCTGAGTGGCATTGAGCAATAAAGCTCAGCACCCGGGCCCTGAGTTCCAGCCCCAGGACTGGTGTTGAGAAAAGGAAGAAGCATGGTGCTTCTCTCTCTCTCCCTCTCTCTCTCTCCCTCTCTCGTTCTCTCTCTCTCCCTCTCCCCCCTCTCTCTTTGTCTCTGTCTCTCTCTCCCTCTCTCGTTCTCTCTCTCTCTGTGTCTCTCTGTCTGTCTCCCCCCTCCCTCTCCCCCCCCTCTGGAGCTCAGGAAGCCTCGGGTTCTCAGGCATTGAGCCCTCCCCAAGGCTCTGCAGGGCTTTTGGGGGGGACAGAGCCCCATTGCCGTCCTGGACCATGTGCCCTGGCCCTGGACACGCCCTGGCCGTACGGTGTTCGGCAGAGCGGAGCTTGAATTCTTATTTCACAGGAGAGAACAGAGTGCTGGAGGCTTCACGCTCCCAGGTCGGGCAGGGCAGGGCTGGGCTCCCAGGTGGGTCTGGGTGACCCCCCGATCTCACACTCCACCCCAGCCACCCCGAGGAAGCCCACACCCCCGCCCCCCGCCCCAGGACTCTGCCTTAGAGAGCAGGTACCGTTCACCCCGACCCCGGGGACAGAATTGACTTCCAGGGCACGGTGCGTCTTTCCCTTGGACATACTTGATAGCTACAACCACGGGGGCAGTCCTCGGGGCGCTCGGGGGTCCCCAGGGGTCAGCACCACGCAGGTCTCTTGTCCATGCTCACCCAGGTTTTCACCCATTTTACAGATGAGGAGCCAAGGCCCAGGGAGGTGAGCACAGATGCAGGGTCACACAGCGCCAGGTCAAAGACCACAGCTTGCTCGCTGTACACGGTGTGGCCCGTGAAAGTGGCCTGGTGGAGGAATGGAGGCGGGGGCGCGTCTCGCCTGCCCTCCGCGGGGGCACGGGTGTGCCCTCCCCCACGCTCTCAGCACGCGGGGGCACCGGTACCTGGGGCACAGCTCTCCACGCCACCAGCATTGAGTGGCCGTCGCCCCCAGCCCCCTGCCCTCAACATGCCCTGTTTTAAGAAAGGTCTGCAGAGTGCGGCGTGCCAGGAGCCAAGGATGCAGAGACCAACCAGTCACAGCCTTTGCTCCCCAGGAGCGCACAGGAGAGCGAGAAGCCAATCAGCATCACCACCTGTCCACCACCTGTCCCCCGTCATAAGTCCACCTGTCCATCCACGCACCTGTCCAACTACCCAGTCATCTGAACTTAGCCCATCCGCTCATGTAAACATACGTGCCTTTACCCATCTTTAACTCCTCCAACCACACAGCCATCCACCCATTCACTCCATCTCCCCATCCATTATCCAGCCAGTCGCCCAGCCATCCGGCCACCCACCCACCATTTATCACTAGTCATCCATCCATCTGCATATCCACCCATCCACCATCCATCCATCCACACACACATCCAGCATCCGTCTATCCATCTATCCATTGCTGGAGGCCTGGTTCAAGCAGCAGAACGCCAGTGGACTAAGCATCATCACATGCATGCATCCACCCATCTATCAACCATCCATCCGTCCATCCATCTGTCCCTCCATTCACCCATTCACCTCCCTGCATGTATCCAGTGCTAAGTATGCACTGTGGACCGGTGCTGGGTCTTGACCTCACCATGATCTGTAAAGTGGTACCCACCCCTGCCCACACCCTACCACCCTTCACTCATGTATTCACTCCTTCATTCATTCACTCCCTCGCTTTCTTATTCACTCACCCACCTACCCACTCATTGACTGATGACCAGACCGAGGCCTCAGAGCCGGGCTGCAGGGTTGATCGCCACAGTCAGATCTGGCCCAGGCCTAGAGCTGCTGCTGAGGGGCAGCATGACCTCGGGTGAGTGCTCCAGCCTCCCCGAGCCTCAGTTTCCCCATGTAGCCTTAGGAAGACCAGGAGGATTGCTTTGAGCCAGTCTGGTGCCTGGCATGTGGTAATGAACTCGGGAAGCACTCGGCGGCGGCGGCGGCGGCTGTGATGACGTTAGTTTGGGCCACCGAGAGGCCCGGTCTGCGGCGGGCACTGGGCAGGGCACCACCTTCCCCGTGCCACGCGGGCCTCCCTCGGGAGAGGGTGCTGTGCAGCCAGTCCACTGCAGCCAGGCCAGGGCTGCCACAGGTCCTGCTGTCCCCTCAGGGACAAAGAGCTCTGCGGAAATGCCGCTAAGACACGCACTCACGTGTGCGTGTGTGTGCGTGTGCGAGTGTGTGTGTGCACGCGTACATGTGCATACGTGCGCATGTGCACCACCGCTGTCAGCACGTTCCGGGAGGAAGCACGTCGCCCCAGCAGCCAGATGCCTGCTGTGGTTATCTCCCACACACAACACCTCTGCGGGCTTGGACAGGACACTGATCTGAGATAGTAGCACGTCTGAGTTAGCGCTGATTACCCTCCCAGCGTCTGAGCGCTGTGTGCTCTCCAGCCGAGAGTCTCCACCAGCCAGGCGGGGCTGTGACGCCCTCAGCCTGACCTGGGACTGGCCTCAGCGTGGACGGACTGCTCAGTCCCCGGCCAGACACAGCCCAGAATCCCACCCCCTGCCCCCCTGAGAATGCCTGGGGTCCGAGGCCCTCTGGCCACAGCTCCCATGCTCCACGGCGGACGTCGGAGCCGTCCGTGGCGGCTGGGCACTGCGGAGGCCACGCATGGAAGGGCAGCCTCGGTTGTCCCCAGAGCTGAGGACATGGTCTCCAGGGCCAGCGCTGACCTGAGGAAGGCCCCGGGGACAGGGGGTGGAGGCAGGAAACCAACCCCTCTCCTGGTTATGAGCGAGCGAGGAGAGGGGAGGGGCGTTCCCAGTGTGCCCCCCCCCCCAGACAAGACTTGGCCCGGCCAAGAGACAAGATCCAAGGTCTGCGTCCACATGTGTTAGAAATCAGTGCTCAGGTGCAACAGAAAGAGGAAGGCATGGAAGCGTACATGTGCGCACGTGTGTGTGTGTGCACGTGTGTGTGCCCGCGTGTGTGCGCGCACACGTGTGGCAGATGGAGAGGATCTGAAGGTAACTGTCCATCTCCAGAGAGAGCCGAGTCAGAAGGAATCAGAGCTGGTGCCAGTGGCTCACGCCGTAATCCCCGCTTCTCAGAGGCAGAGCCCAGGCAGACATATCCTTAAGACTCTCAAAGTAACCAACAGAAAGCCAGAACTGGCTCACGTGTTTGAGGGCTAGCAGGGAAGGAAGAAGCCGAGAGTGTGAGGCCCTAAGTTCAAGCCCTAGTAATGGTATGTGCACACACACACACACAGAAAAAGAAAAAGAAAAAAGGACTGGGGGTCACAGTTTGGCATGGGGCCCTGCGCCCGCGGCCTTGGCTCCCCGCTCCCCGCTGCTGCCTTGCACGGACCTCTCTATGTCCAGTGTCCAGGGAGTGGTCCTGGGAGGCTCAGCGGCCTTGCTGTCCCACTGAGGGCCGAGGGGTCCCCATGGGGGAATGCGGGTGAGGAGCAGGCCCCCCGGGTCTGGTGTGGTCTGCAAGCTCACCTGGGATCCAGCCCCACCTCGCCTGCCCTGGCCCCTCCTGCTGGGCCCCATGGCCGGCAGGGTGGGCACACAGGGACACGAATGTCTCCACAGGGCTGCTCCTTGCTCCGCAGTGGGGGCCAGGCAGGGGAGCCCCGGGCCTGCGACAGGGGGCCGGGTGGAGAAGGAGAGCGGACCCCGTCTGGCAGGGCCAGGGGCAGCTCCAGCAAAGAGAAGTAGGTACACCGTGAGCTGGCATTTGCAGAGCCCCCGCCCACCCCGGGTCACCCCTCTACCTCTGAGGAAGCAGCAGAGGTGCGGGGAGGAAGGCCCAGCGGTAGCACAGCCTGGCCACTGGTGATGCCCCAGGGCTGGAGGTGGACACGGCCAGGACTCTTGACCACTTCCAAGTTCCATCTCCCCAGGCAGACTCAGGGCAGGGGAGGCGCCAGGGCCGGGGCTGGTGGCCTGGGGAGGGGCGGACAGGCTCTCACCAGAACACGCGGTCTTTGGTCACGCGCTCCTGCAGAAGTGTCCACTTCTTCCCCAGGTCGGAGGACACGTAGAGCTGCAGGGCAGAGAGGGGAGGCGGGGATTCCATTAGGACCGGGGGCAGCCCGCGGCCAGGGCTGCAGGAGCGCAGGCGCTGTGACTCCACGGGTTCCCGCGGCCACCCTACCTCTCCTACACTGGCCAGTGTCCGGGGGGACCCCAGAGATCACCGCAGGACAGGTGTCCCTCCCTGCCCGTGCGGGAAAGTGGGCGCAGGCTCATTCAATGATCTTGGCCGCCCCAGCTGGGAGGGGGAGAGTGGACCTCTCCTGGGTTTCTGCAGATGCAAGCTGTTCTAGAAGGTTCTATGCTACACTGGACAATGAAATCCTTGTTCCTTCAGCTTCAGAGCCATGGGTGCTACACCACAGGTGAGCACCCCCAAAACTTGCCTGTCCAGAGGTAGAGACACGGCCTCCATCTGGCTCCCCCTCCCTCCCCCCGCCCTCCACTTGGAAGGGCGCCTTGCCCTCAGGCACGCGGCTCCGCCTCCCCGGCCAATCACACTCTTCCTGCACGTCTCTCTGGGGTCAGTGCTGTCCCCATTCCTGGACAGCCTCCTCTTCCTCCCTCCCACCTGCAGTCCCTGCGTCTGTGCTGCAGCTCTGCGTCCAAGCCCCACCCGATGCTCCGGCCCAGGTCCAAGCCCCACCCGATGCTCCGGCCCAGGTCCAAGCCCCACTCGATGCTCCGGCCGGCCGCCGCAGGCCTCCCCACTGCACGTGGAAGTCACACGTGCCACATGCACCCCCGCCTCCCGTTCTCAGTCCCCTCGGTGTGGATTCCTGGCATAGGACCCCGTAATAGACACCCTCACCTCGCCTCCAGCCTGCCCGGCAGGCCCCGGCTCCCGGCGTGGTGGGGAGGGAAGCCCCCCACTCCAGGGGCTCACTTCCCCCACCTGGGCCTCTTCCCTTCTGCCTGGTGCTCTGCTGGCCCGGCCCCACAGGCCCAGCCCCTGGGCCGAGCCTCCTCTCCGGCCAGGTGCTCAGGCAGCCTGTTTTCCGAGTGGATGCGCATGTTTGACTCCAGGGCAAGAGCTTACAGCCCGATCCCTGAAGGCCAGAGAAGAAGAATTTCCGCTCTGCAGGCCAGGCGTGTGGACAACTCCTCCTGCTGGACCTGCCCTCACTGCGTTCTACGC